GTGCTCTGCTCCCCCCACCCCCACCCCCAGCCCATCCGCCCCATTGCTCAGCTCCTCCCGCCTGGCCCATCTGCCCCATTGCTCAGCATCCCCTCAGGGCCCTTCTGCCTCTGCCCCATTACTCAGCCTCCTCCAAGGGCCATTTTGTTTCTCAGCCTCTTTTCCCATGGAACCATCCTCCCCCCCCCAGCACTCAGCCCCCTCCCCCTGGAGCCCAGCTTCCTTCCATCAGTGCTCACCCCATCAACAGCAATGACGGTGAAGGTCCAAGCCCTGCACTGTGCACAGCTGCCCAGTGTGCTCATCGATGGTGAACTGTGTAGGCACAACACTGCCGATGCCGGAGCCGATGGAGTAGGAGAGGGAGCCAAAGGGGCCACTGTCTGCATCTGTGGCTGTGATCTAGTGGAAAGACGCTGTGTCAGACAGAGTAGCAATGGGGCTGGAACTCAGCAGCCAGGCCCAGCTCCCCTGGCCCATCACAAGGGCAGCTCACAGGACAGGGTGGGCAAATACCAGGACACTGCTTCCTGCTGCTCCCATTGACTGGGAATGGCGATCTGCAGCCAGTAGGAGCTGCAATCGCCTGCACCTGCAGAGGTGCAGGTAAATATAGCTGCACCTAACCCTGGCGAACTGCTTCCGTTCCACTGCCCACTACTGTCACAGAATCATAGACTCTTAAAATGATACGACTGGAAGGAACTGCCCTCACAGCAGGACCAAGCAGTCTGGACCATCCTGCTCTGCCAGGTGTCTGTCCAACCTGCTCTTCAATATCTCCAGTGAGGGGGATTCCACAGTCCCTCTAGGCAATTTATTCCAGTGTTTCACCACCCTGACAAGCAGGAAGTTTTTCCTAATGTCCAACCTAAACCTCCCTTGCTGCAGTTTAAGCCCATTGCTTCTTGGCCTGTCACCAGAGGCCAAGGAGAACAATTTTTCTCCCTCCTCCCTCTGACACCCTTATAGACACCTGAAAACCGCTCTCATGTCCCCTCTCAGTCTTCTCTTTTCCAGAGTAAGCAAAGCCAATTCTTTCGGGCTTCAGTCATAGATCTTGAATCATATTTGTTGCTCCGAACTTTTTCAAATTTTTCCGCATCTTTCCTGAAATGTAATGCTCAGAACTGGACACAATACTCCATGTGAGGCCTAATCAATGCAAAGCAGAATAACTTTGTGTCTTGCTCACAAACACGCCTGTTGAGACATTCTGGGATGATCTTTGCTTTTTCACAGGAGTCACACTGTTGACTCACATTTAGCTTGTGCTCCACTCTGACCCCTCGACCCCTTTCTGCAGGGCTCCTTCCTAGGCAGTCTCCCCCCATTCTGAACGTGTGCATGAGCCCTTCTGCATGTAAGAGTCAGAATGGCCAGGACACAGGAAGTCTGGATCCAATTTCCTGCACTGCTGAAGCCTCAAGACACGTGATCACAGGAAAACAGCAGCTTCTCTGGGCTGTAGTTCCCACCTATACAGTAGGGAACTGCACAGAGGCTGGGGTGAGAAAAGACTTGACTCCTCAGTGAGTGATCGGAGTAGCTCGCTTTCATAAGAGCGGCCAGGCTGGGTCAGCCCAAAGGTCCTGTCTGCCCACAGTGGCCAGTGCCAGGTGCCCAGAGGGAATGAACAGAGCAGGGAATCAAGGCTCTCCTTCCTTCCCTCTCAAACTCCCGTCTGCAGTCCCCTGATTGCTAGCTCCCCCTGGTCACTTTGCTTCTGGCTTTTTAGGCCTTCTCTCCTAGATCAGTCCTGCCCCCTTATTAGCCACAAAGGGAGCAGATGATCACAAGGCATTCTCTTCTTCAGCTGGTGCTCACCCTACAGCTAGGGAGTACTGCAGGAGTGGGGTGGGGTCTCAGAAATGGGCATCTGCTGCACAATTGAGGCTGCTGGCAGTGTTACTTCCCATCTTCTCAATTTAGATGACCTCTCTATTTCTGGTATTAGGACTTGGCCTTGGGCAGAGCGGCTGAGCTCCACAGATTTACCCCACTGTCCTCACTAGTGTTGCCGGGTGTCCGGTTTTCGCTCGGACAGTCCGGGAATTGCATCTTCTGTCCGATAAAAAAACCCAGAAAATACCGGACATGCAAAATGTCCAGTATTTTCTGTTTCTCGGACGGAAGGCCGGCGGGGACATTTTTCCCCAGCCTCCCCTGCCGCATGGCCAGATACTTCCGGTTCCTCTCCTGCATGTGGGAGAGGCCGCACAGGAGATCTGGCGGGAGGGAGAAGCTCCATGTGCTGGAGCCCTGCAGCATTTCAGCCAGGCGGCAGTGAAGGAGGCTGCAGCAAAACTCCTTTTGTTGTCACAGCAGGTGTGTGGGAGGGAAGGAGAGGAGAGGGGAGGGGATCCATTCCCAGAGTGGGAGGGAAGGGAAGCCCGAGCCCCTTCCCTGCATAGGGCACCTTTCGAAAGGAAGGGGAAGGCACAGCTTCTCCTCTTCCCCACCCCCACTTTCCTGGAATAGGCTGGCTAGCCTGTGGCAGACTGGAGCTCTACCAGTTCAGGAGGCATGCAGGACTGGTGGCTGACTCTGAGTGCAGCGCTTCCTTGCAGGGTGGTGGCAGGGAGCGAGAGACTTCACGTGCTCCCCCTCCCAAGGCCCTGATTGACCTGGGGGCAACAGGGGTAGTACGTGAAGTCTCCTCCCACTGCTGGGCACAGGGAACTGCCAGCTGTTCAGAACAGCTGTCAGTTCTGTTGGGGGAGGAGCGGCGGCAAAGACTTTGTACAGTCCCCCAGCCCCAGACCAATCAGGGTCTGTGGGTGGGGAAGCATGGAAGTGTCCTGTCCCCAACCCCTTCAGGGTAGCCTGGGGCTGCTTCAAAGCTTTCTGAAGTGGCCCCTGGTCAAAAATGATTGCCCACGTCTATGCTAGACACTCACTAACCCCGTCCCATTTCCCTCCTGCTAGACTCAGAATTGGTCTCTAAGTCGGGGCGGGCAATAAGGTTTTACTGGGGGCCACTTCAGACATTTTTGAAGTGGGCCCGGGCTGCACCGGATGGGGCGGGGCCTCAGACGGAAGGAGCAGAGCCAGGCTACTTTCCTGCTTCCCCACCCATAGACCATGATTGATCTGGTGGGGGGGAGCATGTGAAGTCTTTGCCCCCCCCCCCACGCTCCCACAGGGAATAGCCAGCATGGGTTTGTGAAGAACAAGTCATGCCAAACTAATCTGATAGCTTTCTTTGATAAGATAACGAGCCTTGTGGATAAGGGAGAAGCGGTGGATGTCATATACCTAGACTTTAGTAAGGCATTTGATATGGTCTCGCATGATATTCTTATTGATAAACTAGGCAAATATAACTTAGATAGGGCCACGATAAGGTGGGTGCATAATTGGCTGGATAACCGTAGTCAGAGAGTTGTTGTTAACGGTTCTAAATCCTGCTGGAAAGGGATAACAAGTGGAGTTCCTCAAGGGTCTGTTTTGGGACCCGTACTGTTCAATATCTTCATCAATGATGTAGATATTGGGATAGAGAGTACGCTTATTAAGTTTGCAGATGATACCAAACTGGGTGGGGTTGCGACTTCTTTGGAGGATAGGGACATAATTCAGAATGACCTTAGCAAGTTAGAGAAATGGTCGGAGGTAAACAGGATGAGGTTTAATAGAGAGAAATGCAAAGTGCTCCACTTAGGAAGGAACAATCAGTTCCATACATACAAGATGGGAAGCGACTGTCTAGGAAGGAGCATGGCGGAAAGGGATCTAGGGGTCATAGTGGACCACAAGTTGAATATGAGTCAACAGTGTGATGCTGTTGCAAAAAAAGCAAATATGATTCTAGGTTGTATCAACAGGTGTGTTGTAAGCAAAACTCGTGAAGTCATTCTGCCGCTCTATTCTGCACTAGTTAGGCCTCAGCTGGAGTACTGTGTCCAGTTCTGGGGGCCACATTTCAAGAAAGATGTGGAGAAATTGGAAAGGGTACAGAGAAGAGCGACAAGAATGATTAAAGGTTTAGAGAACATGACCTATGAAGCCAGGCTTCATGAACTGGGCTTGTTTAGTTTGGAAAAAAGAAGATTAAGTGGGGACATGATAGCGGTTTTCAAATATCTAAAAAGGTGTCACAAGGAGGAAGGTGAAAATTTGTTCCTCTTGGTTTCTGAGGACAGGACATGGAGTAATGGGCTTAAAGTGCAGCAGGGGAGGTTTAGATTGGACATTAGGAAAAAATTCCTAACTGTCAGGGTGGTCAAATATTGGAATAAATTGCCAAGGGAGGTGGTGGAATCTCCCTCTCTGGAGATATTTAAGAACAGGTTAGATAGACATCTGTCAGGGATGGTGTAGACGGAGCTTGATCCTGCCTTGAGGGCGGGGGGCTGGACTCGATGACCTCTCGAGGTCCCTTCCAGTCCTATTATTCTATAAAAAAAAACTAGTAAATATTAGGAAAAATAAGCAAGTTCACACATGAATCAAGAAAGCTATACGATGTTATTCTGATACCCACATTGTAGCATATTTCTGAAACTTGGCAAATGCTAGAAGTTTGCAACAGGCAATTTAACACATTTCATCAGAGATGCTTGTGGAGAATATTTCATGTCCAGTGATAAGATAAAAAGCTAACGCTGATGTATTGTTAAGGACCGGACAAAACACTTTAGAGGCAATGATTCAGGAAAGAGGACTTCACTGGTATGGGAATATTGTAACAGATGTAAAAAAGAAGAAAAACAAGGCATTTGTAGCGAAGCTCTTGACTGTATACCATTTGGTGGAAGACAGGAAAGAACATAAAAACTGTGACAGTTAGGGCCCAGGCACTCCAACTGGAGAACAGAAAGTTAAAAAAATCCCAAATTAAGCCACTAAACCAACTGATTGCATACTATGTCATTTCACTGTAAGAGTAAAATAAGTAGAATCTTTTATGAAAGCTTACAATGCACTGAATTAAAAAGTGATTATGACATATGCATACTGGTTATAGTTATGAATGTGTGTGTAGGAAACTCCATACTGCAACTGCAGCATCACCTCATGACTGGGAAATGGTGCTATAAAATCATAACTAGTGTGGAAAAAGTGAATAAGGAAAAGTTATTTACTTGTTCCCATAATATAAGAATTAGGGGTCACCAAATGAAATTAATAGGCAACGGGTTTAAAACGAACAAAAGGAAGTTTTTCTTCATGAAGTGCACAGTCAACCTGTGGAACTCCTTGCGAGAGGATGTTGTGAAGATCAGGACTTTAACAGGGTTCAAAAAAGATCTAGGTACATTCATGGAAGTTAGGTCCATCAATGGCTATTAGCCAGGATGGGTAGGAATGGTGTCCCTAGCCACCGTTTGTCTGGAAATGTGTAACAGGGGAAGGATCACATGATGATTACCTGTTGTTTTCATTCCCTCTAGGGCAGTAGTCTCCAACCTTTTACACCTAAGATCATTTTTTAAATGTCAGGACAAGCCAAGATCTACCCCATTCTTTCCCCCAAACCCCGCCCC